GCGTATGATTCCGGGTAGTCCAAATTGCCGGTGGTGTGCATTACATCATGCGTGGTGTGCCCTGATGCCTTGAACGTACTCTTTATCGTGACTTTATACATAATAAAGCATATCGGTTAAATACTTTTTTTAATTTTCCAAGGTTGTTACTGAAGTATGGTGAATGTAAGGAAACTTTCTATGCCTCTTATTTCCAAAGCTGCTAGTATGCTCATTTATATCCAATTCTCTGTGCCTCGGCGGCCATTTTGAATTACGGCACTTTGGCATAGGGGGATTCATGTAGGAAATCGTCTTTGTTATATTGGCCCCCACTGGACAAGATTCAACTTGTTTACACCTTCCCCTATGTAACTGGTATTACATGTTATTCTGAATTGTGTTGTTGTCATAGTTCTTCTGCATATTGGTACATGTACGGTACACAAGCAGCGACACACTAAAAACAACAACAAAAAAAAAAAAAAAACCCTTACTTTTTAATTGTCCTTTTCCCTGGTAACTGTTTAATAACACTATACCATACACTTTTTACAAACTTAACCATAGAAAAGAGAAATAGATCATTTTGCCAGAAGTTATTTAAAAACTTTTAAGTTAAAATACAAATGCATTACTCCTAATACATCAATTCATTTAGCAAGACGATTGTATTGATCCCTTAAATAAGCTAACAAATTACTACTTTATGAAAGTGCAAGAGATGCCATTTCTTGTATATTATATACGTGATCAATAACAATTAAATTCCTAAAGTCTTATATTGCATTACAAAAAAAAAAAAAAAAAAAAAAAAAAAAAAAAAAAAAAAAAATGGGGAATGCATGTGACTGGCACAAAGGAAACAGAAACGTAGTCTTAAAAAATACAGAGATCTTTTCTTACAACTCAGTAGAATATTGATAATCCGTTTTTTTTTTTCAAGTCAACTCTCACACAGGACCCCTTTATTTATACTGTACAAAGCATAATGGTATGTAACAGACTTAGGTCTATTTCGATAATTAGTCTATTTGATCACTCAGATGTCATAACACAAATATCCCGCGAGTCTTTGGTTTTGGTAACGTCTTCAATCAGTACATTACCATCTGGGCCAGATTTCTTCCGTAAGCATACCTGAATTCTCTACTGGTTGTGTTCACATTCTTATGCACATACGGCACCTCAGTGAACTGATATACACTTCCGATAGGTGCAAAAATGGACACAACCAGGGTCTTCACTACAGCGTCTCCCCATCGATGATAATAAAATCCCCCTGACCGATCCAAGGCGTTGAGAAATTCGGAAACGTTTTTGCTCCTCCAAAAATGTAAACTAGCTAGTTCAAAATTGTTGAAGAAATATCTGTTTCTGTGCAGTTTTCTGAAGAATGTTGGTTGAATCTGCTTGTTGGTGAGATATGAATTGACGCGCGGATAAAGACCAACAACGTAATCGGGATTTTCTGGAGACATGTGCACATATCCATAAANGAAATCTTATCTCAACATTTCATTTTTTTACCTTCGCTTGTAACCCACATCCCAATCAGGCAAAGACTTAATACAACGATCATTTGACCTTCCATCTCAACTTCTTCTGTATTTGCTCTTACAGCAAAAACGTCTTTCGCCTCAAGAGCTTGGTCGAGATCTTGAATGCTCAGTTCTACCTGTACCGCGCTACTTATATTCATTTGTAAGCCGATCCCTTGGACGAGCCTTCTCTTGGAAATATAATTGAAACATAACATTTTATCAGGGACTAAACATCTGGAAGAAGACGTATGCGAAGACATGGTTTCATGCTGCGGTTATAAGTAAAATCAAAATCATCAGTCACGTTTCTTCTTGTGGCCTGAAGACGTACGTTTTAGGGGTTTTTTTTCTCATTAAGTACTCTCTTAATCTTATATTCTAATAATAAAAAATAATACGTCTTATACACCTCCTTGATTGGAAGGCCATTTGGGACACTTCTACTTTTTTCTTCTCATAAATATAGCACAATCTTTATAAATGATTGTGATAAGGGCGTTTCTTTTTTTTTTTTTCTTTTTTTTTTTTTTTGAGCAAAGATTTATAAATACACATTTTGATTTTATCCCTGTTAGAAATACTCGATCAAAACTTTACGATTTCCATTCATAAAAATATTGCAAAATATTTAAGGCTTACTAATAAAGCCTTTAAGTTTCGATATGTACAAGATTTTTCTATTATTTAATTTGATGTTTAGACTGGTATGTGATGCTGTTTTAAAATTTTAAGTTAAATTTTTTAAAAATTTTAATGTGTTTTTGTTATCAAATAACGTTGAAGAAAACTAAACTGTACTCAAGTGTATTTATAATGCATTTTTAACACTGTCGTTGTCTTTCTCTCTATTTTTTCTTTTACTTTTTTGCGTCTATTAAAAGTATTTCAGTCTTTTGTTATTTATGAGTTCATTATTATGAATGTTTTTCTCTCCTTTTACTTTTAGATTCACCACTGCATTGCCATTACAAGGCACTGAATTACACTGCATTGCATTGTTCTTGGACAATAAAGGTCTAACTTAGATAACAGGTTTTGCGTTTTGATTACTTGGAATGACAGCAGCAACGTATTCCTTGTCTGGGTTATTGGTGTCATCTGTATTGGTTTTTTCTGTTGTTCTAAGGTACTCTTCTAGATTGGAATTTTGAACTCGTTGTTCTGTTATTCTAATGTCTCAGACAGTTATAGGAACGATGAATACCTCCGCATGAAGCTGTTTTGAAATAAAAAACTCTTTGGTGTCTCCTCGATTTAAATTATTGCATTCACTCAACATGACATCAATAAGGACAAAAACAGTAATAATGTCCGATGAAGGCCACATTTATTGTAATGCCTCTCTATTAGAATAACTATGTAGATTAGCAATTAACATGCAACGACTTTGCATAATACCGTTTATGTAACGTTTAGGCCTGAAAAATTACACTTATATTACTTGAAAACAAATTGTGCACATATGTCAAGGGGCCTAAATTGTAATAATAATGATGGAGCCAAATTAACCAAAAATACTGATAAGTCAATAGACGTGAGCTAGCCGAAAGATGCTAGTCCAAAAGGTGCGGCGAGTAGTGTTTATCACGTCTCAAACTAGTTCATGCTTTAAAGTTACCCTTGCACTGGTAATCCTCTTCTTATTGCGGCTGGACAAAAAAAAAAAAAAAAAAAGCCTCCCATGGCCGTTTGTGGTAAGTTCAAGTAATGTTTTCTTGGTGTTTTCTCAATGTGAACTGCATTTCAACAAAAATAAAATACTGAATAAAAACCCCTGTGCTGTAAAATTAACAAGTGATTTGAAATCAAAGCATTTAAATGACTTGTTGATTTCCTTTTTTATTAAACAAATCAAGAAGTATTATTATATTTTTCAATGCATTTTTATATATGGTTGATCCATTTTAGTACACGGTTAGTTGGTTCAAGGAGTTATAACTCCTTGGTTGGTTTAAGACAATGCTGACTACTTGTAACTGAAGGCTTGAATATGTATCAACTGACATGAGAGAGAGGGAGAGAACTAATTATAAGGTGTGTCGAGACAAGGAAGTAGACCAAAAAAAAAAACGCCCTTGGTCGTGATTATACATTTAGTTGGGTTAGGGTTCAAATAATTTGATGAACTTTCCATGTAAGTTTTATATGTAAAACAACTAGGAACTTACCATATTTTCGGTGCTCCCCTATAAGCTGTGTCTTCTTTCTTTTACAACCAACATATCATTTATTTCAGTAGCTTATCTTCGGTTTTGTCGCTAGGGTGTTGTACCCGATTGCCGCCATTGTGTTAGCGGTATTCACGTACAGAATCGAAGCACTCTTTGCTGGCACAGTAAGTGGATAAAAATATTGAATAAAATGGCTGGCTTTTTCTATGCTTTTTCTGACCGCATGTAACCTTGATTTTACTTTTCGAGGATATTAAAATCGTAATTACCTGTCAACAGAATATATAAGTAATTTGTTGACATACAATCATAAATTGCTTAAAAAACTAAAATGACATAATTCATGTATTTTGTGCATTGACAGATGTCTTCCAACTAATACACTCCTCCTTCAAGAAATACACATTAAAAAACGAACATTGTTTTCCTCTTTGTGTCTCTGCCTGTTGTCTTGACTTTTTATTTATTTATTTACCTTTTTGTGATTTTCGACGTTTGTAATGAAGCATCTTTTTCAAAATGATTCTTACAATGAGAGAGAGAGAGAGAGAGAGAGAGAGAGAGAGAGAGAGAGAAAGCGTTGAGTAGCATGGGCGAGAGAGTCAATAGAAAATAAGGAAAAGTCAATAGAGAATGCTCCTTAACTTTGAAATCATCCTTACTTACCAGTCAGAGAGAAAGATTTAAACCTCTACCGGGGGAGAGCACAGCCCTTATCATCCCCCCTCCCCCCCTCCAACATGAGCTGGCTGGGTAAAATGTATCAAGCACCCTTTTTCTTGCATATTTAGATATCATTGATAATCATTATCAGGCTCGTAGCCAGGGGGATTCGGGGGGTTCGAAAGAACCACCCTTTTTGCTGGGAAAAGGTCCACTCTGGGTAAAATTTGATCTATGTCCTTGAGGATTTTATGGTAAAAGGTCCACTTTTTCAGAAAACGACCCCCCCCCCCTCTGAAACTGCTGGCAACGGGCCTGATTATTATGTTACGAATTTGTTAACGGTGTACGTTACAAACCGTTGTCATTAACGCAGCTTTTAAGCCGAAGCAACAAAAATCTTCTAAAAATCTCGCGGCGAAAGACAGGTTCGTGTTACTATGAGAACTATTTAAAATCGCACACGTTGCAGCAGTACTTATTTAAATAAATTAAGAGAAGCGAAATTTGACTGCTTGATATAATTTTATTCATAACATGAGGCAAATATCAGTTATTCCATATTAATTATTATTAATAATATTAATTATATATTAACTATTATATATTAATTATTATTAATTATATATTAACAGATTGAATACACTTCTTGTATCTTGTTGAAATACAATCATAAATTGCTTAAAAAGAACTAAAGTGACATGATTCATACATTTTAACAAGAACACTTTCGGTCAGCGCAGTATTGGACAGTGAAAGTGGCCCTGCACCCATTGTCAACCCAGATATTGTTGGCAAGGAAACCAAAGCTTCTGTTGAGGTCACAGCTGGAGCGGGAGTGCTTCTTGGCCACCTTGACAGAAGTTATGACTCCACCGACGGGACACTCGGCGTATTCATAATTTCGACTGCTGCAATAGACACCGCCTGTAAAAAAGGGAAATTATGTAACTCTAATAATCATTTTCGTTCAATATACTGATACGGACTAGGAAAAACTAGTCTGTTCGAATACAGGAATCGTAGTGTTCAAGTGTAAACCAAGAATGTGAGCGTATTGTGATATGCCTACCTCATTAAAAAAATTAAGGCGAACAAAACCTGGACGACAAAAGTAGGCCAACAGTTTCTTGAATCCTTTTGATAACTAAATCCTTTTGATAACTCCTAAAACTACGTGTATGGATAAATTGCCAACTCACTCGTTTTCACATTTCTGCAGTTGAAATCGACGTAGAAGCGGGCCCTGCATCCATGATTGACCCATAGGCTACAGCCATTCGCAGCGAATGAATGGCCTTGGTGGCAGGAGGACCATGACCTCTTGGTCATCACCCTGGCCGAAATACCTCGGACTCCCGTGCAACAGGAATTGCGTCGGTTAAGATTGCTGTCACAGTCAAATATCCCGGTAGCGGCTTATATAAGTAAAAAAATTAAATGCGTTGATAATGTCTTTGTTGTCTTATCTTTCTTGGCACAAAAGTTGCACATGTGGTCAAAAAAAGATCAAATTGCTGCATATCTACATGAAGCGCATTTTCAAAAAACGTTTGATTTGTTACCCTATTTCCGTAAGTTGACTTAAAAACATAAACCTACATTATAATCAAAAAACAAATGAAAAGTTAGTAGCTGAAAATGATCGAACCGATCTTCATTTTTAGCAAATATCCATTAATGCAATGTGACAAATCCATTTGAAACATAAGTAAAGCACCATCTGTTCTAACTTATCAACGAGGAATTGTATTTCTCTTAAAAGAGACTGAACTCAGTCCCACTCGACAATTTTACTTGCAAAACCTTATTTCAACATCTTATTTTTTACCTTCGCTTGTACCCCATATCCCAATCAGGCAAAGACTTAATACAACGATCATTTGGCCTTCCATCTGAACTTCTTTTGCGTTTACTATCACAGCAAAAACGTCTTTCGCCTCGGGGCTTGGTTGAGATCTTGAATGTTCACTTCTACATGTGCCGCGCTACTTATATTCTGCTCGCGAGACAGTACATGAGTAATTTTCACGTACAACTCAGCGACAAGTGTTTTATCTGGCTTAAACCACGGCCTCTGATTGGCTACTTGCACTAGTAAATGCAAAAGACCGTGGAACGCACGGATTTCTGAGTACCTTATAACTTACAATAGCTTTTGATTGGACAAAGAGCGGCCAGCGAGCATACTGCTGATTTAACAGTAATGAATGGTGATATGTGTTCACTGACAAGGTAGTTTTATTCACAGAAGGGTTTACAATCACATCTCTATCATCAGAATATACGCTACGCATTTAGACTGTGGATTAATATTTTATAGTTAGCATTACTCGGAGGGGGGGGGGGTGAAGGAAAATTAATCAACTTGCACAAAATCTGATAACAGATTATACATGTATACTATTTTTCTCAACTGTTATCTTGATTGAAATAGCATACCGTAACCGGCGACGAAAAGAAAACCTCGGGTATAGATCTCTGCTTCGATAGAAGTGTACAAGCGCCTTGTCTTCTAGACCATTATTGTAAATAATAGGGTCAAGGGGTTTATTCCTATATTTGTTCATTTCCGATCCACTATCCCCCGTCTCTGTAGTCGACTCGTTGTTAGTTTCACCGCTTTCGGACTGACTGTCCTCTGACTCTGTGTTTGACATTTGGGTTTGCTCCGGGAGGAGGGAGGACTCAGCAAACACTAGCACGTTGCTATGACGTTATAATGTGGTAGCAACGTGCTAGCCACGTGATCTGAACGTGACGTGTTTGCTGGGGAGGAAGTTGGGAGGGGTAGTTCTCTAGTTAATTTATTATATATTTATTATATTTCTATGGGTTGTTTACAATGTATTTATTGTGACATATGGATATATTACGAACGGTTGATATCCCTTTAAAAAAAATAAAATATTGAATAAAAACCCTTGAATTACTGTGCTTTCAGAAAATTAACGAGTGATTTGAATAGTAAAGAATTTGAATCACTTGTTGCTTTCTTTTTTTATTGAGGAAATGTTTTTATTGTTTTTCGATGTATTTTTATATATGGTTGATCTATTTTTAATTAACGAGAGAGTTGGTTTAAAATAATGCCGTATACTTGTAACAAGTCTTGAATATGTATCAACTGACATGAGAGAGAGAGAGAGAGTATGGAGCGCCATTCACGCAAAAAATGCAGACGTCAATTCAACAATCTATCGGCACTATTTAACAGCCAAAACCTACTTTAACTATCTAAACTTAATTCTACTAAATTAGTTGTGGTCATTTTAATCATTCATCAAAATCTAACAATCAATAATAACGATTCAAAAGTCAGTAACTGCAACTCAACAATCAGTCACCGCAACTCAACAATCAGTCACCGCAAATCAACAATCAGTTACTGCAACTCAACAATCAGTCACCGCAACTCAACAATGTATCAATGTATTTTTGCGTGAATGGCGTGAAAGCATGGTGCGCCATTCACGCAAAAAATACAGACGTCAAATCAACAATCTACCGGCACTATTTAACCAAAACCTACTTTAACTATCTAAACTTAATTCTACTAAATTAGTTGTGGTCATTTTAATCATTCGTCAAAATCTAACAGTCAATAAACGATTCAAAAGTCAGTTACCGCAACTCAACAATGCATTTTTTGCGTGAATGGCGCGAATGCATGGTGCGCCATTCACGCAAAAAATGCAGACGTCAACTCAACAATCAGTTGCCGTAACTCAACAATCAGTTGTCGCAAACGGTCATTCGCGGACTTAACACCAGATGGCGCGCGCGCACCGTCAGCGATCTGAAACGTCCTTGACCTTTTCCATGTTTTCAATTCCGCATATTATGGGAGTACATGTGGTTCATCGTGTTCGTATTGTCATGATATAGTTAAGTATAT